CACAGTAATGAAGATGTTGCACATCCTCGCAGAAAGCCCTCTTGAAGATGTAACTGCATCTGAGCTGCCAGTGTTGCTGACAGGAGGCTTCCAGTTGACGGCAAGAAAAATACCAGTACCCTTCTATACAAATGGGTGCTATCAGAAATTGAGCACAGATCACACAAAAACCTAGTAGAGAAGTCTTGCTTCTAGATAAACCTTGTCAAAGATGCGCTGGCCTCCATGGAAGTCTGAGCGTGCAGCAGCGCGGGTTGTGTCGCAGGATTACAGCCTGCCTTGTCTTCTTGCCTGACTTCTGACAGTGCTTTGTAGGTGATTTGGTTTCTATTACAAGAATAGTTTAACTCTTCTGTATCTTTGTGAGGGGAAGAATATGTTTATGAACATTGTCAAATATAATGCAATGTTATTAGCCTACTCCAGGAAAGTGAAAATATTCTTACATAAACATTATCCTTATGTGTTGATTTTTCTTTCTGCATGTTATACTGATGAGTTCTATATAAATAAAGTTTAGTAGACAAATTCTGGTAACTGAACCACTGTCATAATAATTGTGAATCTTCATAACCGAACACATCAGATATTTGAAATTAAACTTAATAATTTCCTTTCTTCCCTATAGCAAAATTTTATTTATCTAGGATCATCTGTTTCATCTATTAAAGCATACAAGTAGGTGGATTACAATGAAAAATGATGTCTAATATTATAAGAACGTTCAACCCAGTAAATGCATTTTGACAGGCTTTGATGGCTTGAAATCAGTCTTTATATTCAGAATGGATTAACAGATTTATTTGGTTGCCACAGGCTGTTTTTGAGTTTATGCTTTGTAAGTAAATATTTTGCTTATTTATACCAAAAGCAGTTGTGGCTAAGTACTTACAGGGGTATTTTCAAAAGTGCTTGGCAGCTTCTAAAGCTCCTGGTGAAGCCAGGATTAGATTCCCACTGGGAAACAAAGGCCGGTGTGAGCACATATGAAAAAACTTCTCTCCTTAATTCTTTGCAGGGAAACAGAAGAGCTACAGTTCAGCATCATACATTAACATAAACCCAACCACCTGGAGGCTTAGTCATGGGTAAAACAATGGAATTCAGCTTTGTGGCCTTTGTTCTTTATTCAGGCTGGAATAATGAAGGAGTAGCAAAGCAAACTGGTGTCGGGATTCAGTTTGCATGGGTTATTCCTGCTACGGTGTTCCACTTTGAGCGGATGCCCCTGCAGTCTGCCGTGAGCTGTGCTATGGTGGCTCTGACCTGATGAGGCAGCTCGATTATTCCTGATGTTGCACTAAAATTTCTCCCATAAACATTCTGAAGATGCAGCAAAATAGCATCACAGGGCACAACACAGGCAGACGACAACTGTTGAATACTTTATGTGCAGACTCTCTGTGGGGAACCCAGATGTGCATTTGTAGGTGGTGTGGCCACAGACCAACTGCGTCCTTCCCCAGAATAGCTGTCGGTGCCTGGCTGGTGCTGGGAGGATGCTGGTAGGGATTTGCAGGGCGTGTTGAGTTACGTGGAGATGAGCTGTTCACCATGGCAATATCTGACAGTTCAGTATGGCATATTGGATTAATTTTATTATTGATGGCAACAAAATGATCCAAAAGGGAGGAATCCTGGAATGGCTTGATTTTTGCAGGGTTCCTGTTTTGTAGTAGCACGTGCATTGAGGTTTTTCACCAAAGTACACAAGGATCTTACTACTCCTAGCTTAAAGTGTAAGGGTTTGTTGGAAGAGTTTCAGAAGTAGGAATTTCTACAGGTTTCTTCCTTTGGAACTCATCTGCCTTTTCTGCTAATTTAATCTCAACTTATTCTGTGTACTCAGTTAAAAAAATAAAAATCACAATTTCATGGGTTTCTAGGCACAAAACCCACTCAGTTGTCATCTGTGCTGATCTGCTGAGTTTATGGCTGGCTATCACGGAACCACTGTGTTCAGCATTGTCAGCAATCTGTAATTTTGCAGGAAATTCTGGGCTTTTTCCTTCTGTCTGTGAGTAAATACTGTCTCTGCCTTATACTCATCCATTAAACCAAATTTGTGCAGGTGTAATTTCTGCAGTGAACGATCCTGAAACTTTTAAATTGATGCATGTCATCATTTTATCATTTGCAGTCCCTTCAGTAGTTTTTTAATAAAAAAGTTTGGGGTTTTGTGCTCATGCCCATAAATCACCAACACTTTCCAGAGCTGGGGGAAAGGCTGAAATCATGCCATGTAATCTTGTGGGCATGGAGCCCTTGCCAAGCAGGTTACTTGAAATAAATGGGCACTCACCTTAACTTTTAAAACAGGTAATTTGCTGGTTGATTGGTGTTTTCTGACAGCTGGTCACATAGTTTCTCTGGAAAATGTTACTTGCAACTGTCAAAATGAACCATTTTATAACCTTGGAGTAGAATATTCTGTCTCTCTCTCTTACCTGCTCTTTTAAATGGCATTGGATTTGGTAAATGGCTGCATGATGGTCTAGATAACCTCTGAAGGGGATCGTAGAGAATAGATGTTAGTATTTTATTTGAGCAGACCTTAGTATTCATAGCATCTCTGTGGCAGTGAGCACAGGGAGTGATGATACTACTGGTTGTACAACAAAGCTAACCCCATATGCATTGGTGACTGCTAAGTTAGCAAACTGGCAGAAGTAGTGCCTAAGGTAAGTAGTTTCTTGGACAGTGGTGTGAGACACCAGGAGGCAAAGTCATCTCAGACCTTGCCTGTTTGTGTTCTATAATACATGAAATGAAGTGTTAGTAGAGAGGTGCTGCTTCTGTCAGCAAAAAAAAAAGGAAAAAACAAGTGGTAATTTGTTGCGAGTCCACTACTCCCTACTGACAAACAAATCACCTGCTAGGTTTTAAAGTCTGTTTTAACTTACTACTTTTTTTTGTGTGTATTCAGAAGCCATCTGACTGACTCTGTTTCTGTTAAATACTGAGAGTTTCTCTTTTTGCTCTTTAATACTGAGTGTAGAGGGCAAAAAGACTCTCACTACAGTAATTCTTCCAGAGCACATTGAGTGTTTTGGTTGTTGTTGTTTTCAGGTTATCAGCTTTCCTGTGGGAGTTTTCATAGGTCAGGAACCACAGGACTAGAACCTGCACCATAGCGATTTTTGGGGATTTTGGTTGGGTGTTTTTTTTTTATTTGGTTTTTGAAATTTGGACATGTGATGCTGTTTTCTCATCAGTTCCACTGTTGCAACGTACTCTTATGTCTAGTGACTAACAGGCAGGTAGTAAAGTAGATGCGAGTTTGTCTGTTCTATACTGAAAAGGTTGGAAAGCATTTCTCTGCTGGTTTTGTATGTATTTTTAAAGTAACTTATTTTGATAGGAGCCTTCAAAAAACATTGGAGCAGCTATTAAAATTTTGAAGATGTGATGCTGTTTCAGTACTTTTGCATATTAAATTTCTTGCTTTACATGAACATCTAGTTTTTGCCTCAGAGCCTGAATTATATCTGTAACAACTGAGAGATGCTTTAGTGTTTTCCTGGACATATTTCATGCTGAGCAGATGTATCGGGGCAAACAGCCACATTGATGGGGTGGTTACTGAGGTCTGGTTTGCCTTTATCCTTTCTTCAGCAGGTACCTGAGCAACAACTGTTTTTTTTCCTCTGTTTCCTTAAATCTGCTGTGTTGCTTCTGTTTCTAGATTTAGTCATTTTACACATTTTTGTTTCCTCTTACAAGATGCAATGGGAGGCTGCTTTGTCTTTGATCTTCATTTTTCTTTAGAAATTCTACTTCAGCTTTTGAGGGGGAGGAAAAAAAAAAAAGTTTCCAGTTTTAACAAATTGCATGTGCCTTAGCAATTTTGACCTCATTCCCTTCAAATTGTGCCTGAGGGGGCGTGTGCTGGGAATTGTGAGATGGGCACTATGATGTGCTGTTAGTGCAGTGACAGGAGCCGCTGCTGTTTGGGGATGTGGATGAACTGTCCCCCATCACACGCATGAAAGAATCGTGATGAAGGCTATAAACAGAATCATAGAATCACTTAGGTTGGAAAAGACCTTTAGGGTGATGGGGTGCTGTCGGTGCCGTGTACAGCAGCTCCGGATGGGAACTGGGAATGGGCAGTGTGAGGGTGAGCTGGAGAAGCCGAACCGTGCCTGGTGTACATCAGTGTGACCCTGAGCTCCTGCGGTGGGACCAACCCAAGGAGCTCCTGGCTTTGTGGGAAGCACTGGAAGTCGAGAGGGCTTGGAGAAATTACGCCGGTGCTGGCAGAGCCGCCTGAAGTCCCGCAGGTGTCCCGCACGTGTTGGTTACATGGTTCGCAGCACCATCAGAGCTGGGCTCCCCTGGGACTTAGAGGGGTGTCCCACCCACTTGGGGACACCGAAGGGCTTGTCGCAGGTGTGACCAGGTGCTGTTGCGGGGCTGAGGGAAGGGTCGGTCCCCGTCCTGCCCGCCTCTGCCACCTAGTGGCCCCCGCTCCGAGCGGCGGCGGGTGCTGCTCTGGGAAATAACGGTCATTGGTTCTGTCAACTCCGGCTGAAGTTTCTTTCTAAAAGTGTGAAGCACCGAGAGCATCTTAAAATGTTCATGGTCGGCTCTGGGTCGTATTAAATGCAATGAAAAATAAATCCGTGATGGGAGCGTGTGGCCCCTGGCTGGTAGCCCATCACCCTGGAGCTGCAGAATTTATTCTGATGCCTGGCTGCAGAAGGGTGTGGGGTGGCCGCTAGAAGGAACACTGTTATTCTTGGTTTAAATCTCCTGATTTGCCTGTTTAATCAAAATACTTTACCAAATACTGGTGAATCTTAATTTATTCAAAAGTATAAAAGCACTCAAATGCCTATCTTTAACTGATTCATGATAATTGGAATTGGAGTTTGTGATGCAAATTTGACATGTGACTATTTCCAGTTCACACTCATACGATTCACTTTCCCCATCCATCTCCTTTCTTGCCTCTTGATAAAATAAATATTTTTATTAATCTCTACTTTGTTTTCAAGGTCACTTCCTGGGACGACAGCAGCTGAATGTGCATCAAACTTGAAGAAGATTTATACAGTGCAAACAGTGCAGGTGAGGGGTCTGGCTTTAATAGAGGAGCTGTGACACTTGAAAAATGAAATTTAAGATGTGAAGTTACATTAATGCTCATATGGATGAGTCACACTTGCAGCTTTGCTTACCTGTGGTACAAAATGTAAGTGTTATTGGTTGTGTATGCTATTATTTAGTCATTGTTTGAATTTCATTCGGCTTTCCAGGCCAGAAAAGGGGGAAGCATATTGGATTGATCAGGCAAGGTCATTCTTCTTCAGCATTCCTCAATTTCCACTTGTGCCTCCATTGGATTATTATGTTTGATGTATTTTAAATATTTTTCCTGCCTCTTCTCCATTTTTTTTTAAATACAGAAAATCATTAAACAAAGGCTAAAATTTACAGCTTGTGGGTTTTTTTCTTCTTTCTGTCCTTGAGCATGAGTTAAAAAAAAAAAAATCTAGCAAACTGACTTGAATTAAAGTACTTTTAAATCATACAATACCTGCAGCAATGACAAATTCTGCATGTTTCTGCATTGTCTGCTGGTGCCAAGCAGTGGTTATCTCTTGCAAGTCAAACTGCATTTCTGTTTTAATACCACAGTTAGTGTAAAATGTAGTGAATTGGTATTTGACTCATCTTAATGCCAAGCTGACTCTAGTTCACTAAGTCTCTGAAATTCTAAGGTAATGCCAGAACTGTCCCTCTGAAGGAACCCAGCCATAGTGATCTACTGAAGTTTTTAAATAAGGCTTTCTCATTAGCATCCACACAATTTGTTACCCTGTTTTTAGGTGCCTTTTATCACCCCAAAACATGTGTGAGAGCTTCTGCTTTTACCAGAAAGCTGGGAAGGAATCTCATGTTCTCTAAGCGGATATGTAGTTGTTCTAGAGAAAATGAACAAGGAAGTAAATCTGCATGAAACTTCATCTTTTGTGTTAATGCGACTGGTGTTTTTCCTTTTTAAGGATTTCTGGAGTGTCTACAACAACATTCCTCCTGTGACAAATTTGCCCATGAGATGTAGTTACCATTTAATGCGGGGAGAAAGACGGCCGCTTTGGTGCGTATGTTATCATGAGACATTTCTAGGAGTGGGCTGTGAAAAAACCTGAAGTGGTGAAAGGAGGTGGGCGTGGGACAGGAGTGTCTCGTTTCTGTTGCCTGCAAACACCTGAACTTAAGAGACCTACGAAAGAAATATCCTAAGGATCTTTTTAAGCTTAAAAGAGTCTTTATTAAATACACAGACTGTAATTTCATTGTCCACCTCTGAACATAAATGTAAGAAAGAAACTAAATTATGAAATAGAAATTAAGAAACTTAAATATGCTTCTGAATTTCATTTCAAGAATACACAGAATATGTTACTTCTGTCTGAATTATTTTTAATTTGAAAATAATTTTCTTTCCACTGAAGCGAGCGTAATAACGATGCAAATGACTGATGGTCAGTAACTGTTCTTCACCTGTGCAAAAGCATATAAATGGACATATACCTTGGATTAAAACTAACTTAAGGCATCATGAAGTGATTCATTGCAGCAAATTCCCACTTGATTTTAGGATAGTAATGGAATAAGGTATAAATCATAGAGGTTTCCCTTTCAGAAACTGAGTTTTGCATTCCTTCTTTGTGCTGCGGTTCCGTCACCACATTAGAGAGCCTAAAGCACTTTCTGGAGAGTTTTAATCTTTTTGGCATCGTTTGCTTAGATTGTGATTGGATTAGAGTTCTTTAACTTGATTGTAGTATCAAACCTGGGTGGTGACTTACTGCGAGGGGCTTCTGTCTGCCTCTACTGAAGAAGTAAATAATTTTCTCAAGTGAAATGCACCTGAAGGGCTACACTATTGTTCCAGAAACACTGAGAGTGATCAGGATAGCTAAATTGAGTTTGAAAGAAATGTTGGCACCTGTATAAATCAGCTGGGCCATTGCACGCAGGTCTTGATATCTTTGTAAGGATGAGTGAGAACATTTGGGGTTTTGTTTTTTCTCTTTTAGTTTGATTTGGCAGGTGACTCCCAAAGGTGTGAAATGCAAAGATATTTTCTGAAAACACTACATTAGTTTGAAGACTGTCAAAGTAAATGTAGATGCTGTATTTCAGGAAAGGGATTACAAGATGTTGATCTCATCAATAACCTCCTAACTTTTCAGTAATTACAGCCAAGAAGCTTTTCTCAGGTTATAGTTACAGTATACTGGCTAACTGCAGCATTGGTTTTTTTGGAGGAAAAACAAATTCAGAAGTAAGAATTGAGGACTGCAAATTTTTGAAGATGTCCTTCCAAAGTTTTCCCCTTCCTTTCCCCAGTGTTTGTCTGGATTGGTGGGAGACCATTGACCCTGGGGAATCTCTGTAGGTCTTGTCCTGGGCTTAGATATTCCAAAGATGAATTTTAGGTTATTCCTTAAAATTTGCTATTACTGAGTTTTAACAGGAAACTAGAACCCTAATTTAAAATCTTATAAAAAGCATTGTGACAGAATAAACTTGAAACTCACAGGTTAGCATGTTATGCCTTTGTCATTACAAGGCAGTTTAACGGTTAGTCTGCCCTGACCCTGGGCAGCTTCAGTCTTTCTTTTAATAAGGGCAATTAATTTCTAGCTGTCACAAAACTGAAACGAAGTGCTCTCATGTTCTTTTGTTAAACTGGATAAACATTGAGAGTAATAAGCTGCTTCTGTGCAAATATACAAGAGCTTTTCCAAAATAAAGGGTTACCATAGTAAAACATAGAATTGTTTTGTAGCTTGTTGCCATATAGTGTGCAGCCACCTCAAAGGTGGTCTGTAGTAGAGTATTTTCCAACATGCAAAGCTTAGGAAAGGGGTTAGGTGTTGAGAGATATACTTCATACGAACAATGAAAGAATTATCTCTGATGTCAGAAGTCATAGCTTGAGTCATGCTACCAGGAGTTAGTAATTGCATTTCAGATGGGATTTTTCTGGGGAAGATTAAATCCCAAACATAGGTTTGTCTAGATGTGGATCTGAATGTTTATTTTACTGATGTATTTTCCATAACCAGGGAAGAGGAAAGCAATGCTAAAGGAGGTATATGGAAAATGAAGGTCCCTAAAGAAAGCACGGTATGTAATACTGACTTTTTAGACATTGTTTAGTGAGGAAGCTTCTTTAAACTCCATCTGATAAAGCTGTTGTAAAGCTTTTCAGTTCTTACATCAGCCAACACAACAACAAAACAGTATTTTAACATCTATAACCTTTTATTTTAAGACAATGAGCAAAAGTTTCCTTTTATTTTATAATCATCTTTGTTCTCAAGACTGTTTGCTTACAGGTGTGCAAAGAAAAATATAAAATCTTTTCCTCATAATATTATCTGCTAAATTGCAGCCAGAACCTCAGTAATGCCCTTAGAAAGTCCACACACACAGCGTCCAGCACAACTCTCAGAGTTTCACTGAAGTGCCAAATGCTCCTAAGCTCTCTGTCAAACTCAGCAGGAAAAAAAGGCATTGCTTGTTTGCACCCATGCGTGGCTGGGAGTAGCGCTGTGATTTTTCTGTGGCCAAATACAGACTAAGGTGTTGTTTCCAGCGACGGCTAATCCCATCTCATGGCTTGCTCTCACTGGAAGGGGAAGATCTTGTTCCTTCTTTCCTGATCCCTCTTGCACTCGGGCACATTGGACTGTTTTGTGAGCCAGCTTAATGCACTCTGATGTCAGAAAAAGTCTCCTACTTATTTTATTTTTAATTTGAGTGTATGACCAGGAGAGTTTTTTGATGGATATAGGGGGTAAAGGAGAAAAGAAGAGTGGGATCATCCCCTTTGGCAACAATGAGCTGTCAGATCACCTTGTGCGCATTTTGTGAAACTGCAGTGCAGCCCAGGCTTTTTCTTCCCTTTTTTTTTTTTTTTTTCCCTTTTTTTTTTTTTTTTTTTTTTTAATTTAAAAATGTGAAAGGTAAAATCCTTTCAGGCATGCCGCTGTTCTAGCCCTGCTGAATCAACTGGTTTTTTTTCAGTTTGCACCCCTAATCAAATGCATGTGAGTCAACTTCTCCCATGAACTGTCGCAAGGAGGAGATTTGACCTCTTCAGACGTTGGTGTTTATGTGTGTAAGTGTGTTCTGGATCAGGCCTCTAAACAGGAAAAGTGAAGTGTCAGAAAAATGTGACAGCCTTGCAGCAGGTGTTAAATGCTGAAAGATGGTACTTGAGTTTTCAGCCAAAAGTTAAGTGATTTTTGCCTGTGGGCTTTTTCCTTGAATGTGAGTTGCAGCTTTCCTCCCCTGCAGTCCCAAGGGATCACAAAAGGCTGAAATTTTCTTTTTTCCTCTTATAATCCAAGGTGCGAAGACTGTCAGAAGTGACAAGTGGTTGGGGGAGCCTGTGTTACTGGGTGGTGAATTTATGGACCTCAGAGGCCTTGTTTTTCAGAGGCTGAATGACAGCCCCTTTTTGAAGTGAAGGTACTTCTCGATCTCTCCAACTACGTACCACACATCCCAGGTCACTTCTGAAAGGCTTAATTGAAGATGAACTTATGAACTTTGGTCAGCTTTTAGTGCCTCTGTAAATAGCATAAATAATATCTTTATGATTGTTTCTTTTTTTTTTTTTTTTTCTTCATTCTTCATTGCATGTGCACACAGCATCCCCTTGGCTAAGAAGAACCATCTTGTACACACCTAACCAAAAAGATGATATGCTATAGCAGCTCTTAGTGAGGGTGTGGAAGGAGGAAAATGTAGTTTTTCTAAAGATATCAGTCTTCTAAGCGGTATGAAAAACTGACAAAATAGTGACACTCAAATGTTGTTGCACGTGTACAGTGACCCTTCTGTATGCCAGTTTTGAATACCAAAACTAATACTTTTTAGATCCTCATAAGCCTGATCCTGCAACTGCTTACTACTGGCTGAAGTGCTTCCTACCCTTGAGACCATTAGGACAGCTCACAGTACTGAGCAGTTCACCCGGTAACGAGTGTGCGTGGCCCGTCCCATCACCAATACATGAGCTGTTCCACCGGCAGGCGAAAGGCACCGTGTCGAGACGCTGCCACGCTGACGGCTTCAGCCTGCCTTGGGAGCGTCAGATGGTCCTTCCCACAGCACAGCCTTATGTGATGCACTGGATTAGATGCTAATGAGTCACAGAAATCCTTTGTGTTCTAGAAGATGGCTTAGGTGTACTCAGAAATTGCCATCAAAGCAGTTCATTAGTTTGTCATCTTTGTGGCTGCTTGCTTGTTGTTTTAATCTGGATTGGATACGTTGGGGTTTTTAATAGTACTAAAACTCAGGCTAACTTCATGTAGCAGAGAAGACATTCCTTAAAAGTATCATAGAGTCACAGAATGGTTTGGGCTGGAAGGGACCTCTGAAGGCTGTCTAGTCGAAGCCCCCCTGCCACG